TGATTAGGTTTGTTGGAAACCCTGAATGTACATTGATTAAAATGTGGCCATTGCTAAGACAGGCAGTATTTATTCACATTTCTCTTCTTGGAATTGTAATAGCTAACACTTAAAAGAGAGTCTAAAACAAAAATAAAGTACCAAAAACTACGATTAAAAATAGAGAAAACTGTCAGAAGTAACACATATAAAATGTGGAATACTGAAAGAAATACCTAAGACTAAGAAAGAACAATAGCAAAGTCACCATTGAAACAAGGAATTTTTATACTATATGTGGATCTTCAGAAGACCATTACAAGAAAAACAATTTTCTACCAGGTAGGTTTTCTGATACTGTGAGAATTAGTATATTTTGAAAATATATCAGGAATATATATTTTGCTATAGATTTTCCTTTAGCCAATTAATATATTGATTTATCAACCTTTGATAAATTTTAAGATCCAGAAGAGAAAATGCTCTATGGAATCCGTCCTCCACATGGTTATGGGTCACTTGAACTCCAGCCTTCCGAAGTCTGGTGACATACACGAGTCCATCATCTCTTAAGACATCATACTGACAAGTGAGGACATAGGTCAGGGGTAAACCATGCAACCTGCTGTCATCTGCCAACAGAGGAGCTGCCCTCACATCCAGGAACCCAGGATATTTTTGAGACAATTCAGAACTACCATAAGTTGGGTTGTTATGAAGATGTCCTTTCCTAAACCTCTCAGGGAACAAGGAACTCCAGTTAACAAACTTGAAGAGATGACTTGATTCCTCAGGTACATGCTGATTGGAAAGCATGGCTTTCTCGAGTGCCCTGTCTATGGTAAAGTATTCACTCCAGAACCTGACCATGAGGGACTTGGAAAGAACTGCCATATGTGAATTTTCTCGATATGATGGTGGATCTAAATCGAGAGATTGAAGAGCAGGATAAATTAAAGCCTGGATCTTAGGTTTGATCTTGATATCTGTGTCATCAAAGAGCTGAAAAAGAATTAAGATGATTTGCACAAATTATTTTCATTGAAAAAGAATAAAATGACACGATGGTCTATAAGTAAATTCAAATTGTGAAAAGAACAAGTAACATATGAAAGGTACCATCTCAACAAACACTGAAATATTCAAAATGAGTTTCCAGAACTGCATGCTACTAATCTCAAGTATAGTTTTAAATTGAACAAAATTATGTGTTCTCTATGCTTCATAGACATACAAAAGGATCTAAGCAGTATGTTAGTGTAAACATCTTTCTACCAAGAATGACATCTACAGGGACTGTTAAGTTGACCTCATTTATTTTCTCTTAATATAAAAGTTCCTTAAAATACACCAGTATATCAAGTTAACTTGCCATTGAGAGGAAGAGTCATTTGTGACTTGGCTGCGATGATTCAGTATTATGCTACTTTAGTGGGCTTTGGTAGGGTTTGTGTGTGAAGCATTCCATTAACATCTTTCTTTATTATCAGGACTAAAACGTTGCTAATGACAAAGATCAGTGGTCTGAAAACAGGAATGCACAAATATCATACTGCAACAAAAAGTGAACCACAAAAATATTTTGTAAATATATTTTAATTTTCAAAATAATACTTGAAAAGATAGTTCTATTTAGTGTTGAAATGTATATTACATTATAAATATATATGCATTTTCTATCTCAAAATAGACATTGGATATGCTAAAATATTTTGTAAATTGTGATAGCTATGCAATGTTACTGTAATGATAAAGATCAAATATTATGGACATTTTGGAGATGATTTACAAAGGTCATTTCAGTTTGCCAGGTATTTTTAATAGAAGTTTAGAACTCTGACCTCGGAACAACTCTGAAGTTTAAAAGTTTTTTCCCTATACAGATAATAATTAAACAGATTACATAAATCTGGCAGCACCACACCTAGAATTTGCAGGTTTAAAGAAAGTTCAAATCTTTTAAACCTAATCTAGTGTTTTTTTCTACTGCATGATGAAACTCACAGTAATGATTAGAAGTCTCTGTGTAGTTTCAAGTACTTCTTTTATATTGTGGGCATAGAAATACATGAATGAAGTGTTTTATTTTTAAATGTTGCCCTAGACACTAGAAACCAAAATATTTTTGTATGAAAAAATATAAACAAATACAATTAATCTAAATAGTAACACTGTTCAAAGTTTCTTCATCCATAGCTTATAATTAAAGTTGGCTAATAAAATCTAAGTCTCTATAGATATTTAAGTAGCTTATCCTTGTGCACTTACTACTACAGTACTTGGAAAAATAACATATTTTGAACAACCAGTATTTTTGTATTTTTGTACAAATATAGTATTTTTGTCTGCTGTCAAAACCAGAAAATATTCTAAGATTATTCTTGCATTAAAAACTACTTACAATTATTAATATAGTACTATAGTTTAAGAACAGATAAAGTGTTATTTTTACATACATATATTAAAATCTTATGAATACTTCATATTTCCTTTTTTGTAAGTAGCATGGAATATTTGAGTGTGCTGATTATTTTCTAAAAGATAGTGTGATTTTTCTGGCAAAAGAGGACAAATCACAGGGGTTATAGTTCAGCGGCACAGAGCCTGCCTGGCAAGCTCAAGGTTGTATGTTTAATTCCCGCACCAAAAATAAAAAGAGGATGAATCCACTGAAAATTGTTGAATACATCGTTAAGGTTCATTTCTTGGTCTTACAATTGCATTTATCTCATTCATCTGATTAGTACAAAATTTTATTGTCACATATAAAATCTTACCAATGGTATACCAGAGAATTTTCATTTCACTAAGAAAGAAAAATATTTGTTACAGGAGTAAAAAGTAATTTTTTTTTTTTTTGGTTTTCTTCCGGTACCAGGAATTGAACTCACGACGTTGGGCTTGCCAGGCAGGCGCTTTGCCACTGAGCTAAATCCCCAGCCCCAAGTAAAAAGTAATTTTTTGATGTTTTAGGTATTTTCATCAAAATTCTGTTTGCTATCCTCATATGTGCTTTTATGTTTTAATACATGTATTTATTTATTTTAATACATGTGCTTAATCCTTTTAAAAGTAGAATCTCTTAAGCAACAGAAATTACAAGCGTCCTACCTGCTGAGTCGCTGCTGCAGCCAAATTTCCTCCCGCACTGTCTCCGGAAACACAGACATATTGAGGGCTCACACCATATTTTTCCAGAATATTTTTGCTTAAGAACCACGTTAAGCCATTATACACATCTTCAAATTGAACTGGAAAATGGTATTTGGGTGTTAATCTGTAGCTGTGGAGAAAAAACTAGTTTTCTTATTCCTTCCTGAAAAAGTTACATTAAGGAATAATACACATTTGAGAAATGCACATGCATGCATAATTGCATAAATTTTCAAACTAAACACAACCACTCAGGGAGCACGTGGGTCATGGAAGGCAACACTGCTGACAAGCCTCTGCTTGCTTCTCTTCATCTCCGTAATTACCTACGAACCAGGTGCGGCAACACCAATTAATTTTGCCTGCTTTGCCACTGAAGTAAATAAATTTGAATAGGATGCATGCCTATGCTATTAGGTTTGATTGTTTACCATTGTTTCTGAGTCTCACTCAGATTGCTGTGTTTGTCTTTCTGTGCAGTATTCCGCTGTGTAAATACGCTGCAATATCCACTATCCACTGTTGACAGCTCGCCACAGAAGGACAAAAACCATATGATTCCACTTGTAAGCGGTATCTAAAATGGTCAAATCATAAACTCAAAATGTATAATGCTGGTTGTCCGGGGCTGGGGAGAAGGAGAAATGAGGAGTTTGCAATCAATGGACTCAATCCAGCAAGATGAATAAGCTTTAGAAATCTGCTGGACAATGTTGTACCTAAAATCAGCAATGACACTGTGCATTCAAAACTTTTCTGAGAGATTTCACGTTAATATTCTTACCACAAATAAATGATTGCTGAGTGAATACATATTTTCCAATTTAAAGAAAGCTATAGGAATTGGGTTGCTTGCAGTTTGGGGATTTTAAAAAACAGTGCTAAAATGATTACTATGAGTTTTTGGTGAACATATATATTTTTGTTGATATATGCCTGTAGTATCAATGGCCAAGAAGTTATCATATTTGCTTAGCTTTACTTAATGCTGTGAAAGAGTTTTGATAAGTACAATACTGTACCAAGTTTGTCTTAAACCACTAGTTATAAAAGTGACTGTTAATGTTCTCTTACTATCCTTTGGTCTTACATCTTTCTCATTTTAGCCATTACATCACGTATAAATATGTTACCTAATGCATTTCATTTATATTTTTGTTATATGTGCTGTACTGGTTTATCATAATTTTTTGACAATTTGTATTCCTTTTTTTTGTAAATTGCCCTAAAATCATCCTATACTTATCTTAATTTCTAGGTATTTGTATATTTCCTATAGGAAAAATGCATATATATTTGAGCATTTATTTTTCTCTCTGTAAATATACAGATGCCTCATGATTTACATTAATGTCTTAAGAAACATAAGTTCTTAGTTCTTGACATAATCATTTTATTAAAGTGCAATTCACATTCAAAATTAATGTTTTTAGTTCAGTGGTTTTTAGTATATTCATGAAGTCGTGTAGGCCTCACCACAATCAATGTTAGAACATTTTCATCTCTCAAACAATAGCCCTATACAGACTGGTAGTCACTTTCCACTTTCCCTACCACTTGCCTCCATCCGTGAGCACCTACTTATCTCTCTGCTTCTATATATTTACCTATACTGGACATTTCAAGAATATGGAATCAGACATTGTGTGGCCTTTTGTGACTAGCTTCTTCACTTTGAATAATATTTCCAGTATTTATCCAATTACATCCTTATTTCATTCAACCATTGTCTTGGGTATTGTAACTTTGAAAGTTTTATGAATAATGGTGCTGTGAATATAAAAGTTTTTATATAGCTATGTTCTCAATTTCCTTGCATAAACACATAGGAATAGAGATTCTGGGTCCTGTGGCAAGTCTAGTTAGTATAGCCATTTTAGAAAACTCCCAACTATTTTCCATTTTGACTAATATAGCCATTTTAGAAAACTCCTAACTATTTTCCACCATTCTTTATTCTTACCAGCAGTATAGAGAGATTCTTCTTTTCCATGTCCTTATTAACACTTTTTATTAACTTTTTTTTTTTTTTGTAGCCATACTACTGTTTGTATGGTAGTATTTCTTAGGAGTTTTGATATTCACTTCCCTAATGCCATTGATGTTAAGTATCTTGTATTGTGTGTATTAGACGTTTTACTTATGACAGAATCAAAATTATCCATGTTTTTAGAGTGAGAATTGTCATTTGTTCTTAATAAAATAAATGTGTATTTATTTATTTTTATTTTTAATTTTTTTGAGGAGTACTAGGAATCAAACTCAAGCACTTGCCAGGCAGTCGCTGTACTGCTGAGGTACATCCCCAGCCCAATAAGTGTACATTTGAAGGCAAAAAAAATGGACTTGCATGAAATTTTAATATTTCGCCTTTGAGGTTATTCTATTAGTTGTACTAGTGACTAAAATACAGCCATGTGTCTTATACTGTCATTCAATTTGCTTTCAAAAAACAAATTTACAAATAAAGTTCAAGTACAGAACTTAGTTAAAGCATGGGTTTCTCTAGTTACTTTTTGAAGATATTCTCTTTACTGTGTTTAGTATGGATAAGTTACACACAAATATTGAGTATGACTATGTTGTAAATTTATAACAATGATTTAAGTAGACAAATGGTTATGAATGTGTTATTTATTGTTGTCTTTCATTTACTGGTTTAAATTAAAGTTATATACTGTTATAGCATGAGTCTAGTCTACCCATAATTTTACTGTCCCTTTTCATTCCAAATATAAATTATAGATATAATACAACCTGTATACAGTAACCCAGTGACTTTGCTTAATTTTGGAATGAATTTTAATGTTTTAAAGTTACCAAATGCTAGACATTAGGCTATGTCTGTTTTAGGAAAGTTATCTTTTAACATCCATAATAACCATCGAATTATAAATTATTTACAGCCTGGTTTTACAGATAATGTTTGAATTCCAGGAATACATTATTAACAACTGTGAGTTAAGTTGGAAAGTCACCAGTTCATATTTTGGTCACCCATGAGAACTGAGAGAATCCTAATAGGAGGGCCATCTGTTCTTGAAACAAGAAAAGACAGATCTTACCTGGTTGATACAACAACAGCGTCAAGTCTGTCTGCTGTCCACCTTGACACTTGGTCAATACAAAGGGAAGCTAAAAGAAAAAACAAAACAAAACAAAAACCCCAAGATACTAGTGAGAAGAGACAAAGGAAGGAAGGTCTGTTCCCTAATGAAAAATCATACTTGTTTTATACTCTGGGATACTAAAATAATAGAGAGACAAAATTAATACTGTACTTATCTGTAAGTAACCACAACTTGGAACTTGGACTTCTCATAGAATCTTCGAATTGCTCTTCATTGCTTACACCTTTTACTCTGCACATTTTTCATTGGCGCATCTTAGTCGGAAGCATTCTCTGGAAGATTGATTCCAGCTCCCCTACTAGAAGAGGTACTGATTTGGATGTTCTGCATGATGGATATGCACAGATAAATGAGACAATTCCCTGCCAGGGTTGGTGACACATGCTGAAATCCAGAATGCTGCGAGAGTGACTCAGGATAACAAGTTGGAGCCTAGCCAGGGCAACTTGGTGATTTAGTGAGCATTTGTCTCAAAATAAAAGATGAAAACTGCTGGGGCTGTAACTCTGTACTAAGGTGACATTCAATTCCCAATACCCCCTCAAAATAGACAGGTCACGTTTTTACCAGTGTGCCCTCATAAAATGTAAATGAGGATATATAAACAGAATTGTAGAAACAGAAGGCCTGCTAACCTCCGTACGAGACAAGAAATAACCCTACGTGTAAGTGGAGTAGTAGGAGCCTTAAATAGCTAGGATTCTCTCATCCACTATTTGTACCCACGCTACTCTCCTTAAAGCATACTTGGTAAAGCCTGTCACTTTTGTGTTTTTCTCATCTGGAAGCGAGATTTGGTTCTCTCCTTAACATTTTTATGCCTCTGTCCACGTCCAATTGCTCTATCAATAATTTAAATGTTCCTTGTGCTCATTTCCCCTGAGATGAGTGCCTATCTTTCTTCAAATTCATTTCTCTTTATCATCTCCGATTTCTTCCGTCTACCAACCTGCTCATACATTTTCCACATCAAAAAATCAAATAAAATGCTTTCCTTAACTCCCCTTTAATATATAATTCTCTCATTTACTCCTTTTATAGTATGTTCCTCTAAGGTCAGAAATCACTCCTCCCATTGCCTATTTCTTACTATTTTCTTGCTGAGACTTTTTCTTTTTTGGCCTTGAACTTACTAGGTAGCCCAGGATGGGCTCCCTGGTAAAAAGTGACCTGTCTATTTTGAAGGGTATTGGGAATTGAAATGTCACCTTAGTACAGAGTTACAGCCCCAGCAGTTTTCATCTTTTATTTTGAGACAAATGCTCACTAAATCACCAAGTTGCCCTGGCTAGGCTCCAACTTGTTATCCTGAGTCAGTCTCGCAGCATTCTGGATTTCAGCACGTGTCACTAACCCTGGCAGGGAATTGACTCATTTATCTGTGCATATCCATCATGCAAAACATCCAAATCAGTACCTCTTCTAGTAGGGGAGCTGGAATCAATCTTCCAGAGAATGCTTCCGACTAAGATGCGCCAATGAAAAATGTGCAGAGTAAGAGGTGTAAGCTTTCACTATAGCCGTATAGCCTGTCCCCTTATGCTTACTGTTATTGATATTTGTAAACATGATTCCAAGATGAAGTTAGAAGTTTCAAACACATCATACATTCTTGTATGTAATACATCATCCAAAGTTGCAACACTTATTTTAAAAAGATGACAAAAATCAATAAGTCAAAAGAGCAATCCTAGAAACTTATGTGCACAGAACATGGTTGCAAATGCACATCCAAATTCATAAAATTCTGGACTTAGCAAATGTACAAAAGTTTTCAGACATGTACTAATCCATATTAGTCTCCATGGCTAGTCAAAATTATTGGGGAGAGGTGTATAAAAATGGTATGCTGCAAGGACCACCACAATCAGAAGGTACATGGACTTTCTTCCCATTCTGTAATTTCTACGTTCCTGTTTTCAGAAGCGTAGAAAGTGAACTACCTTGGTGGATCTTCAGAGTAGACTTTAGCAACTACTGTGCTCAAGTCCCACCCAGAAGCATTGATTTATAGTTTGGACATACAATTGCTCACTTATTTTAAGAGTTGACACCATAGATTAAGATTTCTTTAAGTATGTATGGTCTTGGTGATTTTAAGATAAGGTTCACTGTCCAATAAGAACAGTTCTGCCAATAATCATACTTTTTTCTGTGGTCCAGTAAACAAGTGTGTATGAGCAATAATTTGTGACTAAGTCTTTTTGTTCTTACAAACTTATTCAAAAAAATATAAAATAGGGTCATTATATAATACAGAAAAATAAGGAATATATTTTAAAGAGGTGAGACTATAGAAACAAAATAATCATCGTCACTGTCTTGTATACAATTTACATTTTCTTGCATGAGACAGAAATATTGATTGTTATAATAAACTTGAAAGAAGAGATAAAAAAATAGTAATGGTAGTGATGAAAACAGCAAGAGTGAGCTTTAGTTACATATTCTATGATTCCAGTCCTCTGCTATGTGATTCATGGATGGACTGTACATAAGTCCAAGCAATAAATCTATGAGATGAATTCTATGTTGTTAAGGAGTTAAGTGAGCTTTAGTGAGGTTAAAGAACTTGGGCAAGATCATATAATGTGAAGTACTGGAGCCAGAAAAATTGAAATATCTAAGAGTTTATGAAAAACATTTTTAAAAAATAATTTTTTTCTTCAAGATCATGTGTGTTTACGTGTGTGTGTGTGTGTGTGTGTGTGTGTGCATGTGCTAGGATGGAGATATAAACAGGTATTAAGCAATCACATTCTTAGATTACTGAGATCAATGCTGTTGCTACTGCAGTGTGTTTCTTACCTTAGCTTTTTGGCTATACTCTTGACATCTACAAAGGAAAAACTGTATTCTGAGGATAGAGAGAAGCATTCTAGGTACTAACGAAGCAGCTACAGGACTCCTGAACAGCAGGGCAAATCAGAATGGTGACTCAAAGGAAAACATAAAGCAATCCTATCTTCAACCTCAGCTCCTGGGCTGAAAGTAGCAACACTACACTGCCCCTAAATTAAACTGGAGTGTGCAAACAATGTAGATAACAAGAGCTGAACCACAGTGTAACTCCAGGAAAGACCCACAGTT